CACTCCTACAACCGCCATCGAAACAGCCTGTACGGCCCCTGCGGCACCAAGAACGTTTCCCTGAAGGAGCAATACATGTAATGACGATTCTGCTTCATTGCTGGAATCTTGGACATCAATTATCCAACGAAACATCCTTGATTTTTGGCCAATCATACTGCCCAATTCAATTCATTTCTCAATTTGCTTTATTGGACGCAAGTGGAATGGAGTACATACCTTCAGGGTAATTCTGTTGTCATTTTAAGGGACTATAGCTGCTTTACAGTCCCGTGCAGACAAAGTCTCACAATCTTATGACTAACACTCTTTCTTCAGTGTCCGCCCAAGTATTGAAAGCATTTGGAAGCTTTCGATCGAAAGTGCGTATGTCACCGTACACAGTATTAAATGTTAGGTTCCGTATGAAAACTACTCTGTTATGGAATAATGCCACGAATTGATGTGTTGACATAAGGAGGGTAGCTTCACTTCCTGCGTGGAGGACTGCGACATATAGCACCAGAATTTCATACAAAGCTGCATCGAAGAGATGCAACGAGATTAGTATTACTTTAGTATTGTACTGAATTAGGGGAATTCATGGAAAACACCTGCCATCGACAGACATACTCGACACGCGCAAGTCAGTCCTTGACAAGTCCAAGTCATTTGTGCACACGTGCAAGTTAGCCAAAAAATATACCACTATTGAACACGCGTGAAACATAAAAAAAACACGTGCAACAAATCCATACCCGTTTTTAAGCCTCGTAAGGGAGCGGCGTGGCCTAAAAGGCCTGCCGCTTTTCCCGACAAGTGGAAAAGATTGGGCGTTCAGTGGCGCGCACGATGAGGCCTCGCTCCTCGCCAAGGCACCACCTGTAGGAAAATATGCACTCGACCTCCCCTTCGCTCCGGTGTGCAAAATTTCCTGGGCGACTTTCAAGTACAGCTTCTGTACCCCAGTCAACACCTTTCGTTCTGCCGTGAGGACTTCATGCATTAGCAAAAATAATGCATGACCACTTGCTTGTCTAGCTGGAAATCATCTTGGCCCCCTACTCGTCGCATGGAAGTGGTGTCGGGTGACATCTATTGGTATGGAGGTTGGTTCGATGAGTGTTCTTTGATGTGGCAGGCGGCAGGATGCCAAATGTCCATTCATGAAGTGACTTATGTCTCTCGGGGTCACTGTTCACGCCGAACGGTAGTCGATGGTTGTGCAAGCCAGTACTAGGCAACACTCGTACGTTGAACCGGGGAGGGGATGCCGTCAAGCTGCTCCTGCTGAAAGCCTTCAGCTTCAGCGATGGAAAATTCGAGGACGTTTGAAGGGGGTTGATGGATTGTATATCCCATTGTCAGGGACACTCGTGATGAAGCGCAAAAGTGTCAGGGGGGTCGTGTTCTCGGCTTGGCCTCGAT